TTTTATATTTTTGGATAGAACAGGGAAAACTTAGAACCCCAACAGAAGGAGATGGAGCACACAAAGGTTAGACGTTTCCTTACATTTATACTCAGGAAATCTATTAGCAAGATCTGTTCTTTTGATCTCCTGGTTCTACACCATTATCAGGGGCTCCCATGTGCTTTGTTAGATTTTCTATTTATTTTGCATTATGGAGGATGCAACAGGAAGAGATTGGACACTCAAAGGTGAGCAGCATGCCACGCCGTCTATAAGCATCAGGGAGATTGATCTGTCTTCAATCTTGTCCAACAGACCTACAGACAGGCAGTTGACTGGGCATCTCTTATAACTTATAACAAGGTGATCTTTCTTTGCACTGTATTGACCTGACCCTTCAGGCTTCCATCAGGGTGTGCTTTCTGCATCCAACATATGTGAACATTGCTCTCGAGGTTTCATTTTCAATGTTGACTACAGGGTACCTTTAAAGCCGAACTATTATTATAGTATATGATTTGATGTATTTTTAATTCAAGCAGTATGTGTACCCGAATTTGACCTGGTATCAGCCTCTTTCTGTCCCCTGTATAGCGCAGCTCAGGGCTGAAGAGAGAGAAGCAGCACAAGGAGCCAATCAGTTGAGAGCTGAAGAGAAATAAGCCGCACAAGGGCCAATCTGCTGCTTCTTCTTTCACTGCCAGTCACACACTGGTGGCTGGACAAGACCTGTTTGAGTTACTAAACTGCAGCAAAGAAAAATCAGGCAGGGCTGTGCTGTGTGGCAGAGCAGTGCAAATCTCAAAACACAAAAATCCAAATCATTTGGAAGGTAACGCAGCTTCCATTATGTATTTCTAGTTGTTTACTTGGAGTTCAGCTATGAGTTTATATCAGTAAATCTTCTTGATTCTGTTGCATAATAATGTGTTATTTTGTTTTCTACTTTGGATACAATTATTTTGTTACATTTGCTTCATTTCATCATTCGTATTTATTATGTTTTCATTTTTCATGTTTTCTTTTTAGAGCCACCCTACACATACAGATTAGGCTCATGGATCTGAAACCACCACATACCTGCTGTGTGTCCAATGCACTGCATAAAAACACATGGAGCTGACATGTCAGTAGTGTAACATCATCTTTAGTAGTAGTTGCTGAATGTTGTCATTTTGTAACCAATTCACTATGCTGCAAAAAGTGGATTGGCCAGCAACAAACAGAATTGCTGGACTTGCTATCATCTTTTCTTTTAACGCAGTTCCTATTTTTTCCTAGAAACAAAAACACTTGTGACACCACCCTTATATCATGTGATGGATGGACTATGGGTGATGCTATGCCTGCCTGGCTGGGGGAAGTGGTTTGAATTGTATCTTTTTGGGCATTCATTAATGGATGAATACATATTTTATGTCAGTAAATATCATTTTCCCAGCTCCTGAGTTGTGCATTTCCCCAGTATGGCTCAACGGATTGTTCACTCAATGACAAATAATCTCTAGATGAATCTTCAGCCAGCAGACTTCATCAACGTGTCTGGAAAAAATGTGTTTCTTGACCAAAGCAGCCAATTCCTCTATACAGTTCTTAAAATGACTGGAGAAGTTAATTGCTTTTATGGTTATGTAATGGCCTAAGCAAAAAGAAAAAAGGTATTCTAATTTTCTAACTTGCATCATTAAAATAACATCTGAAATATGGCTAGTTGCTATCAGGATCTCTCTCTCTCTCTCTCTCTCTATATATAATATTATATCTACAGGCGAGGCCTGTTAAACCGCTGTATGGTCTTAGCCACCATGCTGCAGCTCAGTTTCAGGGTCTTGGCAATCGTCTTATAGCCTAGGCCATTTTTATGTAGAGCAACAATTCTTTTTTTCAGATCCTCAGAGAGTTCTTTGCCATGAGGTGCCATGTTGAACTTCCAGTGACCAGTATGAGAGAGTGAGAGCGATAACACCAAATTTAACACACCTGCTCCCCATTCACACCTGAGACCTTGTATCACTAACGAGTCACATGACACAGGGGAGGGAAAATGGCTAATTGGGCCCAATTTGGACATTTTCCCTTAGGGGTGTACTCACTAATGGCTGTTATTTTGAGGGGACAGCAAATGTACACTGATATACAAGCTGTACACTCACTACTTTACATTGTAGCAAAGTGTCATTTCTTCAGTGTCGTCACATGAAATGATATAATAAAATATTTACAAAGATGTGAGGGGTGTACTCACTTCTGTGAGATACTATATATCTACCTATTAATATTTATTAAAATAGCTATAGCTTTCACTTTATTCTGATGTGTTACGTCCCCATGTATCATGTTTGATCACCGGTGTCTTATTTTCATTCTTGAGCACAGGAACTTTCATTGACGTATCTGTAATATTGTAGAGTTTTTGTCTTGCACTCTAGTTGCTCTCACCTCTCTCCCCCACACACATAAGACCTACGTTCTCACAGAGGTGAACTTCTTCTCTGACTTGTGGTTGTCTCTTTTTATATTAGAGACGTTTATTTCCTCTAGAGGAGGTTTACTTAGTTACATTACTACCTTCCAATAATCGCCAAGACTTGTAAAAACCAAGAAAAGGAGCAGGAAGAGCAGCTATCTATGCATTATATGTAACCACACCATTTCTGTGAGAAAGTGCTTGTAAAATTTTGTATTTGAGGCACAATATAGATCAGTTTTTAGGTCAGAAGGCTTTTAGCTACTGAAGAAGGTTGTCTAAAAAGACAAATATGAAACAAGATATAAAAATATGTATGGTGTATTGATGTCACAGGCACCAAACTACTTACTGTGCAAGGACCTATAATGTAATAATGTAATGTTAATGAAGTGGCAAACTGCAACCAATCAAAAGTCAGCTTGCACTGGTTTTCCCACAGGCAGGCATGTGCAAGGTGTTATAAGGAAACTTGTACTGAAAACTGCTATTGCTCATCTGCTAAAAAAAAAAAAGTAATGCTTACCCTGGAAACCTGCTTACAACAACAGAAAAATAAATGCTGCTATTGCTGTCCCCTTCAGTTGTAAGTTGGCTGGCTGTCATGCTCCTCCACTTACTGCAATACTTTAGGTCAATGACTTGAAACAAGTAAGTGAATAAGCAAGCACGGACTTCTGACTTCCCTCCATCATTTCTGATCTTTATATTTATTCCAGGTTGGTCTTGTTCACACCGTGTCCATTGAGCTGCCTTTTCTCTGCACACCACTGCACATGTATGGTGTGAACAATTGTTTTCCATGTGCCCTGTGCAAACCATACATGTGTCGTGGTGTGTGGGGGGAAAAAAAGCAGTTCAACGGTATGAACATGCCCTTAGACAGGCAACTAGCATTTTCAGACAGAGATCAGCAATGGCAGCTTCTATATTTGTCCCATAAAAAAATTGCTTTCATACTATGTCACTAATCTGGAACAAGTATGTATATTAGGAGATTTGACTTCACTTGCTGCATACTTATTCTTGGAGAGTGACTCATACAGAGAGAATCAGTAATTGATAGCGAGTCAACTACCATTTGTGAAAGGAGGTCAGTAATTGCAGTCCATATATTTTTCTTGCGATAGGTTTACTTTAGGCCCATATAAACCAATTAGCAGAGTCAGATTAAGGCAGAATATGTCCCTAGGCAAAGTAGCAGCTTGCTTTCCCCTTCCTTTAATGGCATTGATAAGGACTGTAACAGGCACAGATAGGCCACCCCATCTGCCTTGTCGTTTACTGGTATTACTCCATCAGTCACCATCTTTACTTGTGAAGGGACAGGCAGTTGCACAGCTTTGACCAGCTGTGTTATCACGCAGGTTTACTGCAGGAGCGTGAAGGTTGTAGTTGGGTCTCCAGAACATCCACCAGACTCTAGGCTCCTGCCTAGGCTGCCTTGTGGATGATCCAACTCTGCCAATCAGATGAAAGCTTACTGTAGCCAGATCAGTAAGTGACGCTTGTCGTTGATTGCAGCACTTTGTACATTGTCTTTACATGTTATGACTTGATTTAAAATAATAAAAATAACCAAACAGTGTGAGTAAAGAAAGGCATCAATAAGGGAACTGGGTGCACTTTGTTGATGGGATTGTTCCCAGACGCACTGTGGGTGTAAGGAGTATTGAACTGCATTGCTCAAAATTAGCATCAACCCTGGCCCTGGATTTCTCACACAGGTGCAGGATTGTCTAAAGGTGCCCATACACTGCGATTATCATTCAGAAATCGGACACGATCGGGTTTTCGTACCATAATCGGGCAGTTGATGGGAAGTGAACTATCACAATTACTGTACAACTGGCCGAATTTCCTCGATCGATCAAGCTTGAAAACTTTTTTGAATTGTACGAAAATCGATGTATTAGTCGCGTTTTCGTACTAAAAAAATCCCAACATGAACACTCCACATGCGCAAACGAATATCTGTTATGTCGATCGTCAAAATTCGGTCAGTTAGTATTGCTAACGAACGATAATCGAAATCAACATTGGTCTGTGCATGATGGGGTATTCGAGCGGGAATCGAACGCCGGTTTGATGAGGGCACATAGGGGGTTGAACGTTAATCACAGGGTATATGGCCACATTTATGCATTTAGCCCCAGGGTGTACACAGCCCAAAAGATTAGTCATGCAGGAAGGTTGCAGCTATCTTTTGACTTGAAGGGGTCCACTCTAGTACTGAGCCATTTGCAAACAGCTTATTCAAATACTCCAAGATAATGGTGTTATTTATCATTTGTATACCATGCTTCATCGTTCTAAAATGTACATTTTAATATTAACCTCCTACCCTGTGCATCACATGCCTTTGACATATGAACACCACGCTTTCCATACTCATTGCCCTACTATCTAGTGACATTGTCAAGAAAAAAAAAACACCTTCACAGCCTCTTGAACTTTCTCATCCCCCAAAATACTTCTTCCTTTGAATGGTAGTGGTGGTTCCAGCAGTAAGATCTGACATCAGATAGAAATGATCGGAGGAGACCCCGCCAGTGACCCCGACAAAATAAGAGTGACGTCACCTACGCATCAGGTATCACAAACCATAAAGGACGTCACAAGCTTTATTTACATGGTTCTCACGTCCACATAACACAGCACCTGCAGAACCAGACTGTGGCTAAAACAGAGGGGAACTTTGCAGCCCCCCCCAGCAGTCCAAAACTTTCTGTAAGACATTCTCTTGGGTTTAAATTGAGGACAGTAGAAGTTAGAAGTAAGACTTCATTAACCCCTTGGCTGCCGTAAACATGTGTAAGCCGAGCAGCAGAGGGGTTAACCCCTGGCTTTCCAGGGAAACGCTGTGACATGGTGAAGCGGGTGTCTTTGGCAGCTTAGGGTTGAAGATAACTATGGTCATGGTAAATGGGCTTAAGCCTCAGACTCGAACATCTTCTTTCTGCCTTCCATGCCGGATTTCTCTTCAATGTTCTTACGCCAGTCACCCACATCACGGAGATCCTTCTCCTAAAGACAGAAAAATAGACAAGTATTAGATTTTCCTCTAACCACCTACTGATTGTGCCTTGACGGGGCGTAAAGTTATGTCCATTGTACTTGCCCTGCCCACACTTAAAAGAGAACTATTGGGTAAGTGTTTTCCCCCATAGTTCTCTTTAGGGTCACAGGAGGACATATACTAACCTCCTCCCAAAAGATCAGTATATCGTGAGCTATTGCCCACGATATACTGAGAGCGCTGCAGCCGGGACAGATCCCGAAAACACTGTCTGGATCCACCCAGCTGTGTGAGTGACAACTGGCTTTGCCCATCTAGAGGCAGAGCCAGCTGTGCCCGCCTTGTTCCTCCATTCAGCGCTGGAGGATTGGAAAGGGGAGGGGGGAATCCTTGCGAGGAGCCGTGACTGCCAGTGCATGTTTCTGCTCACTTCCCGATCGATATAGCCGACCTGTGACAGCTTCTTTGTCACAGGTCGGCTCTAACTATGAGGGTGAGGGGAAATCACTCACATCATTGATGTCCTTTAAGGCCCATTAAAAATATCTAGAGCCTAAACATTGTTTTCTATTTTGGATGGCACAAGTGATAGTTTTAAAACCACTGTATTTTTTTTTTTTTT